GTCTCCTCCCCAGTGCCTGCTGATAGTAAGGAGTAAGCTAATTTATCAATGATATTAAATATTTGTGTATACACATGTGAAAGCAGCTGCATAAGATTTACTCAGCTGTAGCTGCAGAAAAAATGATTAGAGAAAGGAAAAAGAAAATACAGGATAGAGGGATCCAGTTAATTGCCAAAAACACCTGACAATCTTCTTTCTGTATGTGACAGGCTAGAATTTCATTAGCCTCAATGCTGTAGGACCCACTTGTGTGTGCCTCACTCTCCAATCGAAACAAATGACAACAAAAGCAAATGTTGAACAATTTTTGGTTTTCAAAGTTCCAATTACACTTAATTTGGTGGTTCTCCAAATAACAGAAAATAGGTTGTAAAAAAGAAGGGCTTTACTGTAACAGAATTCAAGGTTTAGGAGTTAAATTCTGATAAAAAAAATTGGGGGGAAACCTAATATTCTTGTAAGCCACAGGGCAGTTGATGTTTGACCAAGAATAAACATGGTGGAAAATAATAAATAAATAATACATACATACATACATAAAAGGTTACGGTCATTTGGAATACATTTATTTTTCAAACCAGTCAGTTTCCTGAGGATAAAACTGTCCAGTTTCAAGTGATCAAAGACATTAAAACTTTTTGCCTCATTTTTCAGAGTGCTTCTTTTCTTACATACCACACCCTCTGCTTCCAAGCCAAAAAAAAATCATTACCAGACCTGCTAGTTTATATTAACTATAGAGTGCACTGTACACAGTGTGATTGTTTTACAGTTTGTTTATGTTCAAGTACTGTTAATCAGAGGGTGGTAACAAGTGTGACTCTCCCTAGATTTCCAAGACTAACCACTTACGTGGTTCAGTTAAGGGTCTGCTTAAGATGGTAAGAGTTTCTGTCCACAGGAGTATCTCACCTGTTTGTTGGAACAGTCATCTGTTATCATTTCAGTTATAGGACAAAGGAGTTTTTTAAGCAGATAATTCTTTTGATATGGTTCTTTGGTATTTCCAGTACAGAGCATTCGTTTTTATTCATGCTTTACTGACATAGATTAGATTTTAAGAGTTCTCTCATCACTTATATATTACTTTATTTTATTTTCAGTGAATGTGTTCGTTTGAAAGCAACTGACATACAGCCAGACATCTTCAGCTATCTCTTGCATTTGATGTATACGGGGAAGATGGCACCTCAGCTGATTGACCCAGTTCGATTAGAACAAGGAATAAAGTTTCTGCATGCCTATCCACTAATTCAAGAGGCCAGCCTTGCCAGTCAGGGAACCTTTTCACATCCAGATCAAGTTTTTCCATTAGCATCTTCATTGTATGGCATTCAGATCACAGATCACCAGATAAAACATCCCACTAAAGTTACATCAGCAACTGACAAACTTGGGCGAGACCCAAGGCCACAGACTTCCCGGATGAGCCAGGAGCAAGCATCTGAAGGCGCACAGCTCTCACAGTTAGCTTCAACTCTGCCGCAAGTGACCAGGACAAACATGACTACATCTGACCCATTGCAGTCTTCACTGTCCCCAGAACTGGTTTCCACTGCTGGTAATAATTCTCCTCCAGGAGAGGAACCCAACATGGAAGCATCTTCCTCAGATGAACAGCCCACTTCACTCACAATAGCACATGTCAAGCCAAGTATTATGAAAAGGAATGGAAGTTTTCCAAAATACTATGCCTGCCACCTCTGTGGCCGTCGGTTCAATCTGCGCAGTAGTTTGCGTGAACATCTCCAGATCCACACAGGAGTGCCCTTCACATCAAGCCAACAAGGGGAAAGTAGCATGTCCCTGTCTCTCTGCAACAACACAGCTGACAAAGATGCTATGGAAGTGCCTGAAGCTGGAATGATTAGTGACAGTGAGTTGCAACAGATCTCAGATTCCCCCATAATTGATGGACAACAGCAAGCAGAAACACCGCCACCTTCAGACATTGCAGACATAGACAACTTGGAGCAGACAGATCAAGAAAGAGAAGTGAAGAGGCGGAAGTATGAATGTTCCATCTGTGGACGCAAATTCATTCAGAAAAGCCACTGGAGGGAGCACATGTACATACACACTGGCAAACCTTTCAAGTGCAGCACTTGTGACAAAAGTTTCTGCAGGGCCAACCAAGCTGCCAGACATGTGTGCCTGAACCAGAGCATGGATACATACACTATGGTGGACAAGCAGACTCTGGAACTCTGTACTTTTGAGGAAGGCAGTCAAATGGATAACATGCTAGTACAGACCAACAAACCCTACAAGTGCAACTTGTGCGACAAAACATTTTCAACTCCCAATGAAGTAGTTAAACATTCGTGCCAAAATCAAAACTCTGTCTTTGCTCTAGAAGAGGACAGATCAATTCTGCTAGGTAGTGGGGACACAGAAGTGACAGAGACAGAGAACTCAGTGTTAGCCTCCATAAAAAAGGAGCAAGAAGCAGTGTTGTTGGACTGAATATGAAATCTGTATTGATTTTTTTTTAAAGTTTCTTTATTCATTTTTACTAAACCAATTCTCTCCCCCTCCCCCTCCAAGCACCAGAAGTACACTGGTATGGTAGAAAATTGGATCTTGCCCCTCCCACCAAAAAAAAATAAAAGGCTTTATATCAAATCACAACATAATTCATTTTAATGCACAGGAACATGCCTAAAGGTAATTCAGCTAACTTTGTCAATAGTCCTAGTAAACGCAAGTTTGATAATTTTTTAAACAAATTTTAGACTATTTAAAAGCATATTTAGATGCAATGAAGTGTGTACTGAGAAACAATACCATTTTGCTAAACAAAGAATAAATATGCAGTTATTTTCCCTGGTAACAAGCCTTTTGAAAAGAACTCTCAGACAATGCAGCATGTTTTCTAGAGCAATACCTACAAACTGGGTAAGATCACAACTACCAAAAGGCTTAGAATTTTCCATAATGAACCCATGAATCTTTTTTTTTTCTTTTAGTTTTTACTTTTCCCTCAAGTATACCATTTGGTATCTGCTTCAGGTAGCTTTGTCGACATAATGTCCATTCAAGAAAATGTAGTTACTTAGTCAGCATTGACTATGGTAGCTATAACAATAATGTGATGGCAATCTTTTTATATATGCACACATATATATAAAGTGTGTTTATGCGTGTGTGAGTGATAGATGCAGGGTAACTAGGTGCACACATCCTTTCTAAACAATTGGCCATCTTTCAAGTTCAACTAAAGAGGTCCTTTAGTTATGACTGTTTGATCAGTTATTACACAAATTATTTTTTAATTACATGTGAACTGCCCCAGACTGTGTGCATTTTGTATTATCCTGTTGAATGGAAACTCATATAACAGTGTTGTCACCGAAGACATGAAGGAAACTAGAAAACAGAGAAATGATATGCCGGTGAGCACTGTGCAAATACCAGTACTACATTGACAAGTGTAGTAGCCATAGATTAGAGTCACTCCTGGTACAAAAGGAAGAGAGACTTGATCACCGTATTCATGTAAGGAGTCTCCAAGACTTTTTTTGGGTCTAACTGCATGAGTTCAGTAAAAAAACCCACAAAAACACTGTTTGGCCCTTTATTTAGTACAGGCACTTTCTAATAGAAAGTGAAGAGGGAAAGATGGCTACGGATCATGGTTTTAAAATGAATTTGCAGTGCTGACTGGTAACTGCTGTTATTGAAAAAGACTCCCATTACACAAGACCCCCCAAGACAAAGTACACAACAGCTGAGAGGATCAAGAAGTAGTTTTAGCTACTACTCAGGATGGCGTTGCATCTTTGTTTAAAAATCAAGTCGATGATTTTTATTTTTAATTTTGTATAGATGCCCGGAATTTTTGCCAATAGCCTAAAAACTAAGCAGACAGCAGTAAGGAAGCCCACTGAAAAGTTACTGGGCCAATAGAAGGCTTAAGTAGACAGAATAAGCGCTCCGTCATAAATGGAGGCAGTGTGTGTTTTTGGGGGGGGCAGAGGGGGGAGGGAGGGATGAAGAGGGCAAGTCATGAACCACAGCTCTGCTCTGTGTATACATTTAAACCAAGTATCATTTTTTGTGTATAGTTAAGTTCGCAAGTTTGTAAGTTTTTTATACATCATTTCATTGAATAAAAATTGAATTAAATTGAATGTGATTTATTTTGAGTCTGATCTTAAAGGTTATTGGCTTCTTGATCTATCCAAGGCTCTTTCTGAAGCTATCCAAGAGCCAAGAGAAGCATACCATATGTCTTATTAAAACCCATTTCTATATAAATGAATAGTGGCTTTCTAAACTTGCTTAAGTGTCATATCAGATTGACAGAACTGAAATTGAGAACTAACTGCACACTATAAACCTCCTTTCAGGAGGACTCCCCCTTTGAACTGATGTATATATCTCATTATCTAAAACATGTCATTTTCTGTATCTTCTGCTTTCAATGTTGCAAGTTTAAAACTTTGTAAGGGTCTTTACCTGACATTGTGGCTGTTTCTGATTTAATCTCTACTTGTTTTAATGGTCTATTTGAAAGGAGAAGAGAGAAAGGAGGGAAAAACAGATCTTGTCAAACACCAGTCAGAATAAGAGTGGTTTCAAGATAGCAATGGTTTATTAAAAATATCTTTGGCTGTTCAGACTCATTTCTCAGGAGGCAGTACCGTCAAGAAGGGAAGCAACCTCACTAAAAAAAAAAAGGAAAGAACTTATTTTGTACATTCGTGTACCTTTTACACAAGTTTTTTTGAATACCCATTTCTTATCTAGAACTGAGCAATTGCATCCAAGTTACTGCAGCTTTCAAACACACCAGTGCTTACTTGGCCTGTTCTCATCCTTCAGACTAAATGAAGAACATTTCAGTCTACAGAATCATTAAATCAGGAGATTACCAGTAGAAAAATTGTTTGCAAGTTATTACACAAGCACTATGAAATTTACTTTCTGTATTAATTATACCTTTTATAGCACAGATATAGAAGAAAGTTTGAAAAAAAATAATTGGTGTTAACGTATGTAGTTATAGAAAACCTTATGTTTCCTCTTCAAAATTCTTTCATTTAATTTAAAGTAATAAAGCTGAGGATCTCTCAAATGAGGGGAAAAGGGTACTTCAGGAAACATGAAATGCCTTGAGCAAAATCCTGGTACAACTGAAGACAACAGGACAGAGTGGCACCAGAACTGCATCCTCACTATAATTTAATTATTGCTAGCAGGCTGGCATGAATTAGTGACAAAAGGAATTGCTATCACCCTGATGGCCAGATTTCAGAATGTAAAGCACCAACACCACCAGTTCCAGTGAATGAAAGCAGCAGAGCTGCTGAAAATTAAGATCTCTGTGCACAATATAAATAATGAGCTAATTTTTGTCATTTTTATGTTAAGTATTCCTTTGGCCATAACCACCTAGTTTCCCAGCAATGTCACTAGTCACGCAGGGGATGATGATTCATGGGGGTGCTGGAGAGGGGGAAAAGAAGAGATGGTTTTATTAATTTTTAGCAACAACTCAACATTATTGCTGCTGTTTCCTGTAAAAGACCGCCACAAATTACTTTAGAAAAGTCTTTGCTTTTTAGTTGTTCAGCTTTAATGGGCTTAAAATAGTACATCAGCAAACACTTTCTGTTCAACATCTTATTTTTAAAAATAGCTTCTACAAACGCTCTAGTTTATTAAAAATACCATTCAACATTGCAAAACAATTGGTGTCATAAGAAATGGCATCAGGTTTGCTACCACTTTTGATGTTTTCCTTCTTGCCAAATAGCATAATTCAGCAGTACTCAACCTATGGGCTGCATCCAGCACAGAGGGCCAGGCTGATCTTCCTGCAGGCTGACCCCCTGAGCCCACCCCATCTGGGATCTAGCCTGTGGACTGACTCCATCCACAGGATCCAGCCTGCAGACCTGCCTCATGTCATTTATTGGCCCACAGGGCCAAAAGATTGAGCACTACTGGCTTTGTATAGGAGGCATCTTTGCTTTCTGGAGAGTTGTACTGGTCCTTCTTGGCACAAGAAGGATAAAAAACTTAAGTGCCCTGCCACTGAGCACGTTACCAGGTTTTTCCATATTCCTCAAACCTTCCATCCCCTAATATAATAAGCAAGATTATAACATTAACTTTGGTAAAGAAGCAGGAATTGTCACTTAACTATTGTCTCTTTAAAGGCTAAAGATGTTTCACAGCCATGAAGTGTTGAGAGAAGCTGAAGGCAAGGAATTGGACATCAGGAACATACCACAGCTCAAAAAGAGAAAAAAAAAGAGTTACTGTACTGTTTTCATAATGAAATCTCTTAGATCAAGGTTGTCAGTTAGCATAAAAAGCTCAAATGTTTGTAGAGCTATCACCCTACATTTACAACATGACTATGAACAATGAACATGGGTTATCTAAAAGATTCCTGACTGTCAACTCTAGATAATACAATACCAATTAGGCACAGACTGGGGAAGGCATAGTGAAAGGCTGTACATCTTTGCGTACTGTCCTACGCATGTGCATTACCTTGGTCAGCAGTGAGAGAAATCCATTGTCCATGCCAAATCTTGGTTTCTCTTAAGACACCTTTCCCTGGAACCAGACTGAAGCTACCAGACTAAAGCAAACTTGAGTACTTACTGCAAAAAATCCTAACAAGCATACCAAGGATATTCACATCATCCCTTCTTCTCTTTGCATATCACTGCCCCCAGTTCATCCTTACCTAGACATTCCCAAGCACCTTTCCCCCATCCTCCTATGGTCTACTAAAAATAAAATGCGAACATCTCAAGAGTTATCATTTCTCCCCTTCATGTTAAGTTGATATGGCAGAGGGGACATATGCTAGTGGTGTGGGGGCCTGTCTTGAGATGCCCAAAGTTTTAATTAGCAATCCCAAGAGATATGGTGCCCTGTGGGGTGTTGAGCAGGCCTACAAAGCAGCAGAGGCACTCACATAATGAAACAGCAAATACTGGGATTTTGATTTTTCAGCAAAAGGAAGGCCAAGCATTTTTTAAGTACATCAGGAAGGATATATGGTATTCAGGGAAAGGCAAAGTTTAAACAAGTTGAATGAAACCCCTTGAGAGACTGCACTACTTGGTTTCTCTCTCATTTTTGTTTATTTTAGACAAGTTGTTTCTCTTGGACATACTTCTGAATTTGCATAGAGTTTCCCCTTGAAGCACATCAGCATTTTTCCACTGCTAAACAAGCAATCCATTTGCTTTCCTAGGTTTTCCTTTTTTGATTATAGGCCTGAGGAGAGGCTCAAAAGAAGGTCAGGTCAGACTGAAACAAACTGATTGTGGTCAGGGCAGGAGAAGCTGGAGAACAATTGGACTGATGAGAAAGCAATACAGAAAATGTTAAGAGACTGACAGGAGACAAGCTTAGAACAAATTGATCCTGCGTCCCATCCATTTTTTGCATGTCTTATTAATACTAAGGGCATATGGTTAATTTATTCTCAGTGAATCAATTCAGTTCATTTCAAATCTTTCTTTTCAGAGTGAGTTCTTGCCCTTGTAAGCAGGTTCCTTACCCTGCTTCCTTAGCAAAGAGAGGCAACCGGTTTTAGGCTGAAAAGTGTTTTCATTCCTTCCAGGTCTGAAGCTTACTACTCATAATAAACTAATTAACCAACCCAATAACATATACATATACTAACCAAACAAGAAACCAAAACTTTCTATCATCCTTCAGACAAAGAAAAGAAACCATGCTTGCTCTCTGCTTCTTCCCAGCCCTACAACCTAGCCACTCTCCTCTCCACTCTTAGCCCTCTTCCTAGCCTCACCCTTATTACCTGGGCAGCAGTTTCAGCTGGTTCCCCACCTTCCAGGCTATTAGCTGCTGACCACCTGCAGCTGGCATGCAACCAGCTGAAGCCTGAGTACCTCCTTATACCATTGTGAGTGGGTTTATAGTTGAAAGACATGGGGAACATCTATGTAATTTCTGGCTCCTGTAGCCTTGTTGCCAGGATACACTGAGTTTAGTTCAGTTTGCATTCCTGGGGAAAGCAGACTGAAGGTCATCCAAGACAATCACAGAAATTAAAAATGAGAGCGAGATTAGGTCATATATATCCTGTCATGCTACTGAGTTGGAAGTCATTTTCAAAGCCTTCCACAGCCATGTGCGTTTGTGACATGGGTTGTGTTTACATCTTCATACCTAACATCTCTGTGCAGCAAGATCACCCGTGTCAGGGGACCCTTACATCATGTCAGTTCCCCAGACACAGCTAGTTCATCGTTCAATCTTTCAGTTAGAAAGGAGCAACACCTACTTGAACAGTGCTCCTGGTCTAGGAAGAGCATAAGTCTGTAGCATAGTTTGGATGCCCAGCTGCAGCTTGCTTCACTCTCATCCATTTCTGCTTGGTGGGGAACAGCAGCATTTGTAGGAGGAATGGTTGGTAATACTGAGTTTACAGTATGGATAGGACTCAACAGTTAAACTGTCCATAGATTCTGTTATAGGCTGCTTAATGAAGGAAGCATGCTGTGGACCAGAAAACGAACGCCTTTCTCCCTCTGTGTCTATAGGATATAAACACCA